CCCACAAACTTCCTAAGAAACTGGTATTGTTACTTATAACGCTGAGGGCTTAAAGTCTGTGTTGATGTCTCTTTTTCATTTCTGATCTTGATAATTTGTATCCTGTATCTTTTTGGTTTGATCAGTTTTGCTAGGGGTTTGTCAATTTTGTTAATCTTTACAAAAAACTACATTTGGCCTTATGAGAATTTTCTATTGTGTGTCCATAAATGTTTGTTTTCATTGAACCTGTTTTTATCTATGCTAGTTCACTCCTAATTGTTTTTACTCCCTATTTTAGCTGCTTCAGAAGCTTAAGTAATTGATTTTCTGTTTTCTTTTTTTTCTGATAAATGCATTTGAAGCTAAACATTTGCCTCTAAGTCCTGCTTCAGCTGCATCCTACACATTTTGATATGCTGTATTTTTATTACCATTCACTTCCTAATATTTTCTAATCTCATTGTGATTTCTTTCTTTTGCTGTGAGTTATTATGATTTGTATTTGACGGATTAAAAACTGACATGCAGCAAAGTTAGATGATTCATTCCAAATCACAGAAATAGTAAGTTGAAAACCTGTGAAAACAACTCAGGTATGTCAGACTTCAAAGTCCATGGCCTCTCCTGACTGATACTTTTCCTCCCTGCTCTGGGAACTAAAGCAAATTCAAGGAAACAAAGCTTAGCAAAGTGTCGACTGGGGAGAAGAATAAAAGGGAAAGACCTGACAGGCAAAATAAATCTTACTTCAAATGAGCCTCCAATATTGTGTTGTTAGTTAAAGTGACTCTAGGATGTCATTTAAGACAATATGTCATTTAAGGATCAAGAAATAGTCATTGCTCACTCAGCATTGACCAATCCTTTCTTTCCAAATTTTAAGCTAGTTCTAGAAAAATTAATAGAGAGCCTGGAGAAACAAACAAACAAAAACTAGGGAAGATATTTACAAGGTAGGGTACTAGAGAAGATTTTAAAGGTATAATCTATGTGCTACGTCATGGACAGGTGTGCCTATTTTCGATGCCTATAAAACATGGATCTAACACTCACTAGTGGCTACTTAGGCTAGCTGGAAGAGGGATGTTTCTGAACATTTGGCAGTGACTTTCATAGTCAGGGGAAAATGTTTTATACTTATTTCTCTTTAATCATTCTTGACTCAGAAAGTGCCTCTTATTTTCTTTTGGTGGGAGAGTGTTAGAAATATCCCTCTGAGAGGCCAGCTGACTGACATCAAATGCCTTTTCCTAACTGTGAACTGGGTCCTTCCCATCACTACCCTTCAACAACAAGCAACACAAAACAAAATCTTTTTTTTTTTTTGAGCTGGAGCCTCACTCTGTTGCCCAGGCTGGAGTGCCGTGGCACACTCACTCCCAGCCACCCCAGCGCCGACCTGCTGGACTCTGGTCATCCTTCCCCCTCAGCCTTTCAAGTAGCCAGAACTACAGGCATGTGTTACCACATCCGGCTATTTATTTATTTATTTATTTTATTGAAGACAGGTCTTGCCAAGTTGCCTGGGAGGGGCTCGAACCCGCAGGCTCAGGCAATCCACTCGCCTCGGCCTCCCAAAGTGCTGGGATGACAGGCTGAGCCACGGAGCCAGGCCCCAAACAAAGTCTTGTATTGAGCACAGAATAAAAGTTCCTCCTTCCCTTCCCATAGTTCGACTCCCTTTCCTAGCGGAAACCACTGTTATTCAACCAAACCATTTACATGTATGCATGTATTTATATATAGTATATACATGTATATTTGCATGTATGTACATATAGGTATACAGCCTCTGTGTCCAAACATACATATATACATATACATGGTTGTTCCTTGATATCAGTAGAGAATTGGTTCCAGGACCCCTGATGAATACCAAAGTCCCTGGATAAAATGAGTCTGCAGTTGGTTGAATCCAGAGATGCACAACCCACAGATATAGAGGACTGAATGCATACATATAGCTTTCCCCCATAAATGAAATATTTTACACACTGTTCTTCAAGCGGCATGTTCCCCTTGGAGCTCTTTTCAAATACGTTTGAAAAAAAGAAAACAAAAAACCTTATTTTGTTTGTTTGTTTTTGAGTAGGAGTCTCACTCCGTGGCCCCCACTGGAGTGCAGTGGCACGCTCAGGGCCACCCCAGCCTCGACCCGCTGGGCTCTGGCAATCCTTCTGCCTCAGCCTTCCAAGTAGCTGGAACTACAGGTGTGCGCATACCACGTCTGGCTCATTTTTGGTTTATTGTAGAGATGAGGTCTCGCCAAATTGCCCGGGCTAGTCTCGAACCCTCAGGCTCAGGCAATCCATTCGCCTCGGCCTCCCAAAGTGCTGGGATTACAGGCTGAGCTACCCGAGGCTGACCCCTTATTTTTAAAATAAGGTCGTACACCGTTCGTATAAAATGGTGTGATATTTGCATATAACCTACCCACATCCTTCTGTATACTTTAAACCATCTCCAGACTATTTATTATACCGAATACAATATAAATGCTATGTCAATAATTGTTATACTATATTGTGTAGGAAATATCGACAAGTAAAAAGTCTGTACATGGTCAGTACAAGTCAATCTTTTTTTTTTTTTCCTGATATTTTTAATCTGCAGTTGGTTGAATCCAGAGATGCACAACCCACGGATACAGAGGGCTACCTGCACACGTATAGCTTTCCCCCCATAAATGAAATGATATTTTACATACTGTTTTTCAAATGGTATTTTTCCTTTGGAGCGCTTTCAGATATGTAAAAATCTACCTTATTTTTTAAACTGCCTCACAGCAGTTCATAGAACGAATTTATTATAGTGCATTCACTCTTTTCCATACTGGTGGTCCTATAGGAGGTCACTAGTTTTTTTTTATTATAAGCAATGTTGTGATGACTATGTTTGTAAATGCTTCCATGTGCATATGTGTATCTCTGAACACAGATACTTGGAAATCTAAAAGACAGGTTGAAGGGGACACATAATTTTAACATTTGGTGACTCTTGCCAAGTTACCCTCTGCAAAGAATTTAACACTTTTTTTTTTTTGAGTTGGAGTCTCACTCTGTCACCCAGACTGGAGTGCAGTGGCCGCTCCCGGCCACCTCAACCTTGACCTGCTGGGCTCCGGTGAGCCTTTCGCCTCAGCCTTCCGAGTAGCCGGAATTACAGGCACGCGCTACCATGCCCAGCTGATTTTTTTTTTTTTGTAGAGATGAAGTCTCACCAAGTTGCCCAGGCGGGTCTCGAACCCGTGGGCTCAGGCCATCCACTCACCTCAGCCTCCCAAAGCACGGGATTACAGGCTGAGCCACCGAGCCCGGCTAGAATCTAACACTTTATACTCTCACCACATTACCACCTCTTTTCTCACATCGTAGTATAAATTTTCCTAGTTTTTACCCATCAAAAGAAGAGGGGTATTTTTGTTTAAAACCGAGCATCTTTTAAACTACTTTTCTTTCATTTTTGCCAATTACTACATCTGTTCTTAAGCTTTGCTCCCTTCCCCGCCCCCCATTGGACTGTTGGTTTTATCTTTATTTGTTAAAAAATTATTTAAGAAACTGAATATAATATGGATGATGAGACTTTGTCATCAATATCGGGTGCAAATCTTTCCTCTCAGTACTTTAGGTTTTGTGTTTAGATCCGTTTATAGTGTCCTTGACCTTACAAAAAATTAAATTTCTTATGAAATTTCATATAACCTTTATAATTTCTTATAAAGTGTAGCCAGTCTTCTTCCTTTATAAATTACTGGAGGGTTTTCTTATTTCAGAAAGGATCTCTCAACCTTAAAACTGTTCTCCTAATAATTTTACAGATTTGTTCATTCAAGAGAGCACTTAGCCCAGGAGATCAATAAGGGTTCATAGAGGAAGGAATATTTGAAAATTTTTTTTTCCCTAGAATAATTTTTTTTTTTTTTTTTTTTTGAGTCGGAGTCTCACTCTGTCGCCCAGACTGGAGTGCAGTGGCTGCTCCCGGCCACCGCAGCCTCGACCTGCTGGGCTCCGGCGATCCTTCTGCCTCAGCCTTCCGAGGAGCCGGAATTACAGGCGCACGCTACCATGCCCGGCTGATTTTTTGATTTATTGTAGAGATGAGGTCTCACCAAGTTGCCCGGGCGGGTCTCAAACCCGCAGGCTCAGGCCATCCACTCACCTCAGCCTCCCAAAGTCGCGGGATTACAGGCTGAGCCACCGAGCCTGGCTCTGAATTTTGTTGAGGAGAGAGTGCTCTTGTTTGGACTGGCCAGGAAACCCTTCATGGGCAATGAGGAGGCTTCAAATTAGTTCCAGAGGATAGCAGGGCATAAGATGATTACAGGTGATAGGGAAGGAAAGGGTGGGGTGGGGTGGGGTAGGCTGGGGATGGCAAGCGGGTCTGGGGACAAAGGCAGAATATCAGTAATGAGCAAGCATTTTATGCTGGTAGTTAATGAGTTAAGCTGGGGGCCAAGCAGGTAGGGTTTTGAATGCAAATATTACTTTAGGTCTTTGGCAGGCTGTACCCAGTTGGTTCAACCATTGGATCATGGCTAATTAAATAAAATGGCTTGTTCAAGTCATAGTCCTGCCCCTGGTTCCACACAATTCATCTTCTAGGTACAGTGAGGAAAACAAGAGAATATGATATTTCAGAGCAGACTAAACTAAGCTCCAGATTAAAAAATACTTGAGATGATAGGCTGGGCTTGGTGGCTCAGCCTATAATCCGAGTACTTAGGGAGGCCAAGGTGAGTGGATTGCCTGAGCCCTCAGACTCAAGACCAGCCCAGGCAATTTGGCAAGACCTTGTCTCTACAATAAAAAATTAGCTGGATCTGGTAGCATGTACTACTTGGAAAGCTTAGGTGGAAGGATTGCCAGAGTCCAGCAGGTCAACGCTGCGGTGGCCATGTGTATGCCACAGCACTCCAATCTGGGCAACAGAGTGATACTCCAACTAAAAAAAAAAATTCTTGAGATAGTGTTGAAGAAAAGGTACATTACACTGTTAGAGATTGAAATCTGTGACTATTTCTAGCAGTGTTTTCTCTCCCATATAGATGAAATATCGAGATAGAGCTGCAGAAAGACGAGAGAAGTATGGTATTCCAGAACCTCCAGAACCCAAGCGCAAGAAGCAGTTTGATGCTGGCACTGTGTATGTGATGTGCACATTTTCCAGTTCGTTCGCTGGGGCTCTGGCTGTTTTTTAAGTAACTGTGTGTTTGCCACTGGCAGGAATTACGAGCAGCCCACAAAAGATGGCATTGACCACAGTAACATTGGCAACAAGATGCTGCAGGCCATGGGCTGGCGGGAAGGCTCTGGTTTGGGAAGAAAGTGTCAGGGGATCACAGCTCCTATTGAGGTAAGCAGTAGGGCCAGGCCTCAGTGTATGCCATGCTTACAGACTTATTCCAGATGAGATGAGATTAAAAGCCCTCATAGGGTCTGGACCCCAAGAGCCGCTTTAGCCTTACCATAAAGGGGCAGTTTCCTTGGCCAGAAGATGTCATCATCCACTGAGTGGGATTCTTGTTCCTTGCAGCGGTCCCTTATTTCACCCTTCTTTTAAGATGTCCGTTGGGAAGAATGGGTGTAGTGCCCCTACTTGATTTTTCTGGCCAGATTTTTTGACATCTTTCTTAAAACCTATTTTTCTTCTAAAGACCGCCACATCTTTCTAGGTCCTTTGTATGTAAATAAACTATCACTAAAAGTGCTTACTTAATACCAACTCATACCTAACTAGAATGAATATTTTAAAAGGTACTATAATTCCTAAGTGATTTTGGTTATGTATTTTAAAAAGATAAAATTGAGTAAGGTTTTCTTCCATAGTAAGAAATCCTTAAATTGGTGAGAGCCCAGATTGAGATAATCCCAGCCAGGATCAGAGGCCCCCCACCCACTGGCCTGGACAGGAGCTGCACCTGTGACTGCCCCCACTCTGTCCTGGGAGCACAGCTTAGGTCAGACGCTTATAGACCCCAGTTATCCTGTGCATGTTGAGTTCTGCTGACATCGGTCTATCCTGCCTGTAATCACCAGGCCTTCCCCGTGTTTCAGTGGAGTGCTGGGACCCTTACTAGGCATCGGTGCTTGCTGAGAGGCCTTGAGGAGTGGGAAATGTAGCTTTATCTGCCTGTGTCTTCCTTAGCCCATTTGATTCCTTCTAACCCTAAACATGCTTCAGGTTCCAGTTTAGGAATTCTTGTCTTCATATAAAACCTCTCTTGTGTCCCCTGGTGGGTGGTCCTACTTGGTAAGGAATGGGCTTGGTGAGAGGTGGGAGCAATCCATACCCTACTTGCCAGCTGCTGACAGTCTCTGTGTTTCCCCAGGCTCAAGTCCGGCTAAAAGGAGCTGGCCTAGGAGCCAAAGGCAGCGCATATGGGTTGTCGGGTGCCGATTCCTACAAAGATGCTGTTCGGAAAGCCATGTTTGCCCGTTTCACTGAGATGGAGTGAGACTGAAAGGTGACAAGGAATATAAGAAGTGGTCCATCTCTTGAATTTATTCTTACGGCCTGTCTCTTTAAGGGCATACCTTGTGCTGTTAATAGTTCTTAGGGTGAACCACTTCATTCTGTAGGAGTTCCCCTTATGTGGGTTGTCTGGAGAATGGCCTTCCTTCCCACCAGAAGGCTTGTGAACAGACCAGAGAGGACAGTGGTTTTTTTTTATACTCCATTGTACATAGTGTAATGTAGTGTGTTTTACATGTGTAGCCTATGTTGTGGTCCATCAGCCCCTCACATTCCTGGGGGTTTGAGATGTCCTTGGTGGTTTGACACCAAAGCCACCTCTGTTGTTTGTCATTGTGATGTCTTTTCTGGGCAAGAGCCTTGTGTATATTTGTATATTATACATTTGTACAGAATTTTGGAAGATTTTCAGTCTAGTTGCCAAATCTGGCTCCTTTACAAAAGAAATACCTTGGAAAATGGGTGTCCTGTGTCTCTTTATTCTTTGGTAAATGGGTAGGTAAAGCATGTCTGAGCCAGTCGAACCTGCTGTGAAGTCAGTTTAAGTTACCTACAAGTAGTATGTTATGCTATTTCCTTGCTCCCATCATCCTTGTTCCAATTTTTTAAGTTCAAGAGTTTCATGTTTTGAAACTTGATGGAGATCTCAAGGAGTAGCTTTTCTACTTCTTTCGGTTTCAAAAGACCAAAGTGAGCATGAACACTTCTGCTTTTCCAATTTTCACAGACTATTTCAGACATGCCAGAAGGTGGGGATGTTACTGCTCTGCAGGGTAGAACCTCCCTGTTTTGACATGATACAGTTGATGCCTGGTCCCCCATCCTCTGGGATGGAGGAACTGTGAAGGCCATCTCTCCCCGTTGGTGGCACTCCACATACCTTTTGTCTTCCATCGCAACTGCTAAGGAGGTGTTTAGGGACACTGCAGGGTTTTTTTTTTATGAATGGTGTCATTTCATGCTTGTCTCCAGCACCAGGATGGAAAATATCATTTGGACCAGCAAGACCATACCTGACAAGGACAGGAAGTATACCTTAGTCTCAGGGGTTGCTCTTGGCACCTGGTGATGGGGTGCTCACATTACCAATATGACCAAACTGAGTGCTTGAGTGCTACAAGTTTTGGCAAATGGGAAGGGTGGCCTTTTCTCTGCAACTTATTCTTGGAGCTAGAGGCATTATGGGTGATGCCATTTTTCTGTTTTCAGTCAGGCTTGGCTCTTATGAAATTGGGATGGAAAATGCTCAAGTGGCATTTTCAAGGCACAAATCCTCACCCTGGCCAGTACCTTGGAAAGGCTGAACCTAATCACAGCTTTGCTAAGGAAAGATGGAGGCAAATGCTGAAGCCCCGATCCTGGGTTTCTGTGAAGTAAGGATTGGGAACCTCAAAAATGAGAGCCTAGAGCTGGGATGGAGACCGTCTCTTAGAGATCGGGTCTACCAGGGTTGATATCCCTCAGAGACCAGCCCTACCTCCAGAGCCTTTGCAGCATCAGGGAGAAATGCTGGTGTTCACTTGCACCTGAGCAGCTGTCACAAGTAGCCTAATTAGATGCATGTGACAGCCAGTCTAGAAGGCTCTTCCAGGTGAACACAAACATAATGGGATCTGGGAAACTTAATTACATGCACCGAGCTCATCAAAGGCTAGGTGGAAGCTTCTTCCCTAGGGGAGCCACAGCCAGGCATTGACAAGAGATTCAACCATCTTGAGTATCAGATTGACTTCCCTACGCCAGGAAGGGCACTTGACTATTTTCCAGCTGCTTGGCACAGCTGCCTATCTAAGCTGCTCAAGGCTGTTCCTGGGTGTGCTCTGGACACAGCATCTGCTTTCAACACCAGTGTGGGCTTTCCTATGAACATGAAGTTGAGGGTTCCTATGAACACAAGGAGGTGGCTCTTCCCACTTCCAACCTGCTCCTCCACAGCCATGCCTATTACCAGCATACCTTGCTAGGTGAATTCAGCCCTCAGCCTGCATCTAAACTGATGGCTCCTGTCTTATGGCTGTACCTTGGGTTCAGGTCTTCTGCAAGACCATATTTGAGGGACCCTACTGGTCCTGAAGGTCCCAAGCATCCCCCCACTGGCCACCACGGTCTGCTCTAGCCCCAAGCCCAGGGATGAGTGCCGTGTCCTGCCCTAACCACAGGGCCTCCATTCTTAGCCATGCCTGACTTGGGGGTGCTGTGAAATCAGTGCAAGCTTCCCAATCAGCGATACCCAATTCCTGATTTTGGAAAGGACTGTTGCTGAATTGGAAGGAGCCTCCAGGGTTCCCAAGTCCAGACTGCCCTTGGCTGGGACAGCTGCTACAGTGTGTAGGACTTTGAGGACCATCCAGGAGCAGCTGTCATGGCTGTGCATCAAACAAGTTTCAAAACCCAGATGAGCAGCCAAGCCTGAGCTAAGCTCCCCAGGCATGCAGTCCAGTTGGGGGTCTCAAGGGCGCCCAGAGCCCAGCCACTCTGATTCCAGAGGGATGAATACCCTCAGGGACAGGTGTAGTGTGGGGGGAGATTGACCCCAGACTAGACCCTGGAGAAGGGTTCTGTGTTGCTCTGTGGCCACCAGGTGGCAGTACTCCATCATCTTCACAGGTGAATTTTTAGGTAGTGATGGAAAGATGTCCTGCCAACTACTGAGTACTAGAGGTTTCCGGGGTCCCTCTCCAGATCTCTGAGACGTAGGGAGACCTGACTATAACTTGGGCCTTAAAACTGTGTGGAATCAGGCAGGTACCAAGTCAGCCTGCCCTGCAAGTTTATAAGGATTCCTACCTCTGGGAACTCTTACTAGCTAGAAGGAAAAGTTGTCTACATAGCGCCGAGCTGTGGGGCAAGGACCAGGCTGACCCTGTGCACAGTAAATGCTTGTCTCTTAGCAAGTCTTTCTGACCCAGGTAGATAATTTCTGTGGCCAATAAAATGCATTTCTTCCTCATGCTCCCTTTACCTACTGCATGATTATTGATGCTCAAGAAATATCCTCTGATAAGAGCTCACAGCAAGCCGTGCTTGGTGGCTCAGTCTGTAATCCCACACTGGGAGGCTGAGGTGAGTGGATTGCCTGAGCCCACGGATTCGAGACCCACCTGGGCAACTTGGCGAGACCTCATCTCTACAATAAAAAAATAATAAGCCGGGTTCGGTGGCTCAGTCTGTAACCCCGCGCCTTTGGGAGACTGAGGTGAGTGAATTGCCTGAGCCCGTGGGTTTGAGACCCGCCTGGGCAACGAGACCTCATCTCTACAATAAATAAAAAAAT